TGCAAAGAGACTGAGTAAATATAAAAGCCTCGGAGAGCCTTCGATGGAGAACAGTTAAATCAGGTCTGGGGATTGTACAACTCTCGGGCCAAATACGGACTTGTGGTTGACTCTGACCGGCCTGTTTATGATCATTTGGAATTACAAGATAAACATATTTTATAATTTTACCTCATGCATGAATCTAAATCTGCATTGCTTTTATTTTAGAGGATGTTTTTTTAATGTCATTTTTTGTAAGACAACCTCACTTTCTCATTAGTCATAACATAAATTCTTACCAGTCTCACCAGCTCGTCAGAATAATTATATTTACTTAATCGCTTTTTATAAAGAAATATAATTAATATTATGCAGAGTTAACTGTGAGTTAACTGAGTTAAGCGTTTTGGCCTCCACAATATTTTCTCTTTCTCATGAAGAGAAAATAATTGCCGACCCCTGAAATAACTCTAACATTCTAACATAAGAGTCAATTTTGTGTAATATAGGACCTTTAATTTTGTTTAATGACTTGAATTCAGAATATGCCTCAGTAAATTTACTCTTAAAACTTTATTGTTGTGAAACATTTAGGCATTTTGGTATTTTTGTATGAACCTTACTTGGTTTTTCAGAGTATCTTAAATAAACCAGGCTTGAGTACAGGTATATATGTAGTTTAATATAGAATAAAAGCTATACATCGATTTCATCTTCTTTTTATGGGCGCCATATTGAGGACTTTTAGTGGTCAGAAGAGAGATTATTTGAGCTTGCCAAAACTTGTCTTTTGTAAGGAGCTGGTCTGAACGGTCTGAGGCACACTGATCAAATGAATGAAAGGTCCTTTATCATAAGGAGGAACATCTTCAGGGCATTACATAAAAGCACAGGAGCTCCAGGCGTCCTGAGGTAGAACATTCGGTTTGAAATTGTAATTGCTATGGCAACGGTCCCAATTTCTTCATCTCTCTGAAACTATTGGCTGTGCCAGACTGACATGCTTTGTGGTCAGGTCTGTGTAATTTCATCAAACTGAGATCCAAATAGTCAATGATCAGTTTGGGTCTTTTTAATTGAGAAGTCCACAGAGCAGACAGATCCGCTCAGTGAAAGCTTGTGCTCTGGAGAAGATAACAAAAGAACAATGAAATTCTGTCTGTCCGTCCGTCCGTCTGTGTGTGTGTGTGTGTGTGTGTGTGTGTCTGAGTGTGTGTGTGTGTCTGTGTGTGTGTGTGTGTGTCTGTGTGTCTGAGTGTGTGTGTGTGTGTCTGTGTGTGTGTGTGAGTGTGTGTGTGTGTGTGTCTGAGTGTGTGTGTGTGTGTGTGTGTGTGTGTGTGTGTGTCTGAGTGTGTGTGTGTGTCTGAGTGTGTGTGTGTGTGTGTCTGTCTGTGTGTCTGTCTGGAAGAGCTGCCAAATGTTTTCTCTTTATAACTTTTATCTAGTTGACAAAATTGATTTAGTCTTTTGCTATGGATCCTACCTGGACGACTGAGGGACACAGAAAGAGTTCAGGGAGAAATGTGACATTTAAACTGAAAAGTTCATTTTTATTCATTCCTAATAAGAAATACTAAATGTTTGCCATAACACTCAGCCTAAGTGAAAGAAAGAAAGTATCAGAAAACCATCTCAGTGTACAGAAAAATGCTTTAAAGTATGTTTTCAAATCTTTATCTACAAAGTAAAAACATCTAACAAGTGAACTCGATTATTACACAAAATTTAGTTGTTTCCTCATCATAAAAATATCTCGAATTGTGTTTTGTTTCATTCATGTTTGAGTAACTCTCTAATATTAGTCTGTCTTTTTATATAAAACTCAAAATGCTTTGTTCCACCTTTTACCTTTTGATCAGATGAGACAATTCCAGACCTGAAATGATCCAAATGATTCCAGTGAAGGCGTTTGGAGTTTATGGAGTCCCATAAAATTTCAAAGCTTTTCCAGAACTTTTTCATGACCTAAAGTGAATTTTCCATGACTTTACAGCACCCTATAGAATTGATCAGACTTTTAGGACTAAATCTGAAATGTGAACCCTTTCCACTCACCTTATGGTTTGGTATTTTAGTTTTTTAACTTTCAAAATACTGTCAGTGCATTTATTGTCGTCTCTTTTAAACAAAAGGTTTGGAAATTATCATAATAACCTCATGAAAACTTAACTTAGCTGCGTGAAAGAGATACTAAAATTCCATGACTTTTCCAGGATTTCCATGACCGTGAGAACCCTGCCTTTTACATTTGAGAAGAACTCAGCCTAAATCTGCCTAAACAAACGTGTGAATGAAACAAAACCCAGCTCCAGGTTTGTTTTTGACGAAGAAACATTAAAACGTAGCTCAGAAAACAGCGTAACATGGATCCTTTAATATTCTGAATTAAACTTCTCTTTTAATTTAAAGTGTATTTTCTTTCGCCTCGGCGCGGGGAGCAGGTTACGCAATGTTTGGTGGAGATACAACGGGAGAGTGTCAGTTAAAATTGAACAGGAAATTCTGGCGTTGACATTGACGCTTTGGGCACACAGCCCCATGAAATATGAATGAGCGTCGGAGAGGATGTGTGTACCGAGCAGCAAAAGTCAAACTCGTCATATATTAGTCTCTTTGGGGACTCGGTCTAATTAATGGCTCGACCTGCTCACGGATAGCCCCCTTCTGTGAGTTAACATTTAGCGGTGCACCCCCCGGAGGCAAAGCTCTGAAGTGCAGTTAATAAAAGAAATGACAGTGACATTAATGAGGCTGTGGGAATCGGATTTATGTTGAGGTTTCAAACACGTGTCAACAGAAGGAAGTACAAAAAGGAAAAAAAAACACAGAAAGTTCAAAATTAAAACTCAAAAAGCATCGGAAAGAAGGAAAATATCACACAAGCTGATTTTACTCTCGATGTTTACGTTAAAATGGTTCTTAAATCAAAGTCACGCTGCAAAAAAGTGAGTTTAAATAAGTTGAATTCACACTAATAATCTTGAGTAGTACGGACTTACATTTATTTAGTAATTTATTTAAGTTTACAATGAGTTTTTAAGTATTTTCAACAGATTTTAATTTAGTTTCAAGCTGAATTTTCTGCTGTAGCTTGAAAAAGAAACAAATTGAACTATGTAATATCTGTAAAATCTTATCATTTAAAGTTGCGCTCCCAAAATGTTCCACAGTATGGCTTTAAACATATCTGTTGCCATGGAGACAATCAGGAGACACAACCAGGCCAAGTTACAAGTCGCAAATCAGTAAGAATGCATGTTTTTCAAGGTGTTTTTGAGCAACGAAAAAGGGCTGTAATTGACAAAAAAAAAAGCAAGATATGCAAGAATGCAAGTTAGAAGTTTAATGCCATACTGCGGAACATTCCAGACAATATTAAAGCGCAGAAACATCACACAGCGCTCCTTTAAACGAGTCCAAACTACACCAAACTACATATTTCAAGCTGAATTTTCTGCTGTAGCTTGAAAAATGAACAAATTGGACTATGTAATATCTGTAAAATCTTATAATTTAAAGATGCGCTCCCAAAATGTTCCACAATATGGCTTTAAACATATCTGTTGCCATGGAGACAATCAGGAGACACAACCAGGCCAAGTTACAAGTCGCAAATCAGTAAGAATGCATGTTTTTCAAGGTGTTTTTGAGCAATGAAAACGGCTGTAATTGGAGAAAAAAAGCAAGATATGCAAGTTAGAAGTTTAATGCCATACTGCGGAATATTCCAGGCAATAACAAAGTGCAGAAAAGCTACACAGTGTTCCTTTAAATTAGTCCAAACTACACCAAACTAAATATTTCAAGCTGAATTTTCTGCTGTAGTTTGAAAAGTGAACAAATTGGACTATGTAATATCTGTAAAATCTTATAATTTAAAGATGCACACTCCCGAAATGTTCCACAGTATGGCTTTAAACATATCTGTTGCCATGGAGACAATCAGGAGACACAACCAGGCCAAGTTACAAGTCACAAATCAGTAAGAATGCATGTTTTTCAAGGTGTTTTTGCAAAGAAAACGGCTGTAATGAAAAAAAAAAAAGCAGATATGCAAGATAGAAGTTTAATGCCATACTGCGGAACATTCCAGACAATAACAAAGAGCAGAAATGTCACACAGCGCTCCTTTAAACGAGTCCAAACTACACCAGTCTAAATATTTCAAGATGAATTTTCTGCTGTAGTTTGAAAAGTGAACAAATTGGACTATGTAATATCTGTAAAATCTTATAATTTAAAGATGCACACTCCCGAAATGTTCCACAATATGGCTTTAAACATATCTGTTGCCATGGAGACAATCAGGAGACACAACCAGGCCGTTAGAAGTCGCAAATCAGTAAGAATGCATGTTTTTCAAGGTGTTTTTGAGCAATGAAAATGGCTGTAATTGGAAAAAAAAAAGCAAGATATGCAAGTTAAAAGTTTAATGCCATACTGCGGAATATTCCAGGCAATAACAAAGTGCAGAAAGTCACACAGAGTTCCTTTAAACGAGTCCAAACTAGCCAAACTAAATATTTCAAGCTGAATTTTCTGCTGTAGTTTGAAAAGTGAACAAATTGGACTATGTCATATCTGTAAAATCTTATAATATAAAGATGCACACTCCCGAAATGTTCCACAGTATGACTTTAAACATGTCTGTTGCCATGGAGACAATCAGGAGACACAACCAGGCCAAGTTACAAGTCGCAAATCAGTAAGAGTGCAGGTTTTTCAAGGTGTTTTTGAGCAACGAAAACGGCTGTAAGTGAAAAAAAAAAAAGCAGGATATGCAAGATAGAAGTTTAATGCCATACTGCGGAACATTCCAGGCAATAACAAAGCGCAGAAAACGTACACAGCGCTCCTTTAAACGAGTCCAAACTACGCCAGACTAAATATTTCAAGCTGAATTTTCTGCTATAGCTTGAAAAGAAAAAATTACAAGTCGCAAATCAGTAAGAGTGCAGGTTTTTCAAGGTGTTTTTGAGCAATGAAAACGGCTGTAAGTGGAAAAAAAAAGCAGGATATGCAAGATAGAAGTTTAATGCCATACTGCGGAACATTCCAGGCCATATCAAAACGCAGAAATGTCACACAGAGCTCCTTTACACGAGTCCAAACTACACCAAACTAAATATTTGCGAAATCCAAGTTACTTAGACATAATTTCCTGCAGTGTACACACAATTTTCAGATAAAATAAGTTCACCATTGACGCCCAAACTCGAAGAAAAGCTTTGAATCACATTTTTAATCTAAACGATGTGACGTGAAAAGGAAAGTCCCAAGAGCGGCTTCAGGTTTGGAGCAGTGGCCTCTGGGTTGCCGTTTTGTTGTTGTTATAAGTCCAAGCATCAGTGTCCGTAAGAGCCACTGTCCTTCAGAGCCGAGCTTCAGTTTGATTTTGACCAGATTTTCCCGCTCCCTCGCAACCTGCAGGACGACAAATAAACACGTCAGAGTTAACATCCAGCACCGTCGGTAAATCATTTTAATTCAAGTTAGTACAAGTCAGTCAAAAAACATTCAGAGCAGACAGTTTTTGGTAAGTTCTCATCCTAAAAGAAAGCATTTTGACTTTTCATAACTCAGGTTTGGCGCAGCCTGCGGCCACTTTCTCCCACGACACGAGCGGAACATGAACTAAAATTAAAAGCTACAATATTATGCTAAATAATTCTCAGCTTGGGCATTTTTTTTCCTGATATAAATTAGAATAACACATCATCGTTTCAAAATACCTTACGTTGGTGCGAAGGCATTTTGGAGACGTACTGGATGGGTTTCCAAAATATCGGTATCGGTCCAGTATTGTTAATTTAGCACCAATTTTAATTTATTTGGCACCAATTTTTTTTTTTTCCTGTGCCCATATCTCATTCCCAGTTTGTTCTCAGTGTCAGATTTGTCTTTTTGAGCAGACTTATGGGTAAAAAGGGAAATAGAAGAGCAATTAGGCTAAAAATATGGCTGTCTGTTTACACAATCACGCAATAAATTATTTTATATTACAAATAAAAACATTTTATCAGACTCTAAAACTGAATCTGCTGGTTTATTGAAAAGTGCAATGGTTTGTAACGAGCTAAAATAAATGGTAAAAACTGATAAAGAATTGAAGGTACATCTAGTGTAACCTGTTATTTGAACTTTAAAGGTCAAATATTACGCAAAACTGACTCTTTTGAGCTTTAAGACGTGTTAAAATGCTGTTACCTCCTCAAAAAAACATACTTGGAGTTGTGTTTTGTTTCATTCACACATGTTTGAGTCGAGTAATCCTGGATTATCGATCAACCTGCCTCCCCAACTCCAGGTAAAACATGGAAACATTATGACATACACTACCGGTCAAAAGTTTTAGAACACCACACTTTTTCCAGTTTTTTACGGTTTACTGTCGACCAAACCGTATTCTAAACTTTTGATTCATGAAAGTGTCCACCTTTGGCTGATATAACAGCTGAACACACTCGTGGCTCGTTCTTTTTACAACAGAAATCAAATATTCTTCAGAAAATTCTTCCCAAGTCTGTTGCAGAAGTTCCCATAAATGTGTGACACTTGTAGGTTTCTTGGTTTTCACTCTTCTGTCCAGTTCATCCCAAACCAGCTCGATGGGGTTTAAATCTGGAGACTGTTCTGGACTCTCCATGTTTTCAAGGTTTACCATTTTTAATCTTTTTTTTATCCTCTGTCTGTTCAGTTTTTACCTTTGTACAATTTCAAGCTCTTCATTGGACTTGCACGACTTGAAATGCAAAAAAAACCCATATTTTTTGGACTATATGTTGTAATTTTTTTCATGGTTTGAGTGGCCCTGCAACTTATACTCCGGTGCGATTTATATATTAAAATGTTCAAATTGACAGCCGCGAGAGGGCGCTCTAGGTTTGTGTGTCAGTATCTGTTACTCCTGTCCCACTGTCACTTCACACTGTACTGCACATGCCTCCTGTTGAAAAAGCCGTTCTGCTGCAAATAGTGAAATATGCAAGTAATAAACGGTAATCGAGCAGCAGAAAGAAAGTTTGGAGTGAGCGAGAAACTTGTGAGGGACTGGAGGAAAGCGGGGATGGAGAACACAGCTTCACGGCAATCGGGAGGGTTAATCATGCGACTTTCCTGGAAGTCACTGGATGAATCGACAAAGCCTGAACTTCAATGACAATTGAAACCATCCTGTCGGGATTCAGAAAGGCTGGAATAATTCTAACTGGAACTGATGCTGAGTCTGACAACAGCTACACAGAAGAAGAAGCGGCGCTGTTTACCTCATGGATCTATGGTTTATCTCTGGAGGTCACGCAGAAGTGACACAGAGGATGAAGGATTCAATGGATCTACTGATTTGGAGTGAGATCCTGAGTTTGGTAAACTTATGCTGTTTTTGCTATAATTATCTGAATAACTGTTAATATGTTACATTAACATATTAACGCCTGTTCAGTCCGTTGTTCTTTATTCTGTTATTACTTTAATTTGCCTTTCACGATGAAATGTCGGTTCCTGGTCTCTGATTTTACAAAATACATTTCCCCAAAAAGTGTGACTTATGTGTGTTTTTCTTCTTCATTGCGCATTGTTTGGTTGGTGCGACTTATAGTCCAAAAAATATGGTACGACTGTGCTGGACTCTCCATGTTTTCAAGCTTTACCATCTTGTTCTTTTTTCCTGAGGTAGTTTTGGCAGAGCTTGGACTTGTGTTTTGTATCTTTTATCTTTTTTTTTTTAACCTCTGGCTGTTCAGTTCTTACCTTTTGTACCATTTCAAGCTCTTCCTTGGACTTGCACAACTGAATTTGCAATAAATAACTGGAAAAACTAGGGTGTTCTAAAACCTTTGACCGGTACTGTAAATCATAAAATAGAGTTATATCGGCTCTTTAAACTAATAAAATTACTCAAACTACACGATGAGTCAAAACAAAGCACATCTCCAGAGTGTTTTGATGAGGGAAATACAACGTAATAACATGTCTAAAAGTTCATAAGTCAATTTAGCGGAAGATCTAGTCCCTTTATTTCAAATCTTCTTTTGCACAGTTCCGGGCCCGATTTAACAAAAGCAAATTATGATGCAACACGGGTGAAAGTCTCGGTTTTAAATGTGTTCTATCAGCGCTTAGACGGCTCCCAGCGGTCCCTCTGCTAATTAAAACATGAAAGACAAACATGAAAGATTTGCGCTTAAAAATATTTAATGAATTACTACAGTGAAAGGAGCCCATTGTTGTTCCTTGTCCAAAAATGGTGGCCCAGATGGAAACAGAATCTTTTTATTTGTGGATTGAGGTTAAGCAATCATTAATTTGTGGGTAAAACATTTAAGTGGATCTGCGTTTGAACGGAGAGCGGCGCTGAGTGATGAAAATTATAGAGCGCCGCAGCTTCGCCCAAATAATCAGCGCTTTCTGTGAAGAAGCAACAACAACACACTGCCAAAGGAATATTAGAATGGGTAAAATGACTCAAACACACAACGTTGAATCAGATTTGGGTTGTTTCGAGTAGTTTAGATTTATTATTTACATGATTGGCCCAAATAATCAGACCTGCTTAAAGTCCAATATTACACAAAATGGATTCCTGCAAACTTTAAAACGTGTTATAATGTTGTTACGTCCTAAAAACGTACTTAGAGTTGTGTTTTGTTTCGTTCACACATGTTTGAGTAACACTTTATTATTAGTCCTGGGTTCCCACTCTTTTTCACTGACAAAATCCCAAAACTTTTCTATGACTTTTTCATGACCTAAAGTAAATTTTCCATGACTTTACAGCACCTACAAGTGTAGAATTGATCAGACTTTTAGGGCTAAATCTGAAATATTAACCCTTTTCATGCACCTTATCGTTTGGTATTACAGTTTTTGAACATTCAAAATACCGTCAGTGCATTTATTGTCGTCTCTCTTAAACAAAAGCCACCTACATTTGTTCAGAAATAATAATAATAGCCTGATGAAAATTTAACAGAACACTGTGGAAAGAGTCACTAAAATTCCATGACTTTTCCAGAGTTTCCATGACTGTGGCAACCCTGTTAGTCTGTCTACATCTACAAAGCTCAAAATGATCAGTTCCCCCTTGTGATGTCATGTAGTGGTAGTTTTCAATTGAACAGCTAGTTTTTATCTTTTGCTCAGTACAGATTGGCATGTTCAGGTCTGAAATCATCCAAAGCAGGGTTGGGAATGGACAGTACTTGGGCGGGAGACCACTGGGAATTCCAGGTGCCACAGGAGGGCGCCAGTTGCAAAAAACTGTCGTTGTGTCCTTGGGCAAGACACTTCACCTACATTGCCTAGTGTGAAAGTGGTGTGTGTGTGTGCGTGTGTGTGTTGGTGGTGGTCAAAGGGGCCGCAGCCTCGCTTCCGTCAGTCTGCCCCAGGACAGCTGTGGCTGCAGTAGTAGTTTACCACCACTGAGTGAATGAATAATGAACTGTAAAGTACTTTGGGTATTTTGAAATGTGATATATAAATGCAATGATTTATTAAAAATGATTCCAGTGAAGGTGTGTGGAGTTTAAAAACACAGTGGAGCACTTCCTGTATCACCACATGACATCACTAGGTGGAACAGATTTTCAGTTTGAGAGAACTCGCCTAAGTATGTAGGATTTGTGTGTTAAACATGTGTGAATGAAACAAAACACAACTCCAGGTTTGTTTGTGACAAGGAAACATTAAAACAGATCAGAAAACAGCGTGATGCAGGTTTATTAAAGTTTATAACTTTATATGCAAGATTTATCAAAAAGAAAGTGCACTACACAACTTTTTGGTGGACAGTCCACTACCTGCTTGTCTCCATAGTTATAGGTTATTGCTTTGCCTGGAATATCCCACAGTATGGCATTACACACACACATAGTATCTCCATGGTGACAGGCAAGTGCCCACAGCCCCAACTACAGTTTTGGTAAATTGTAAATATAAAATAAAATAAAAATGTAACACTTTATAATAACTACACCTTATTTAGCCTTAATAAAGCATGAACAAAGACTTAATTAATAATGAACAAAGACTTAACTAATAATGATTCACGCTTAGTAACTACTTAATTACTACCTTAATTAGCGCTTGCACTTAATATGCCTGTGCTGTAAATAGTTACTCATAATTATTTCATACTTAATTACTCATGGACTAACCATTTGATCATTTATTAATCATTAATAAGCTATGAGAGAATGATTTACTAATAATGCAATGTAATGATAATTCAGGCAGCTGTTAGTTAAGTCTTTTTGAGAGCTTTTCTAAAGTGAAGACAAATTATGCTTTATTAAGCATTTACTAAGCATGAATCATTATTAATTAAATCTTTGTTCATTATTAATTAAGTCTTTGTTCATGCTTTATTAAGGCTAAGTAAGGTGTAGTTATCATAAAGTGTTACCAAAAAAAACATCTGTAACTGA